CTGGTACGCCTACCTGTCTGCTTTCTGTTCATCACCCACGTACGCCTGGCATGTCTCGTGCGCTATTTGATGCCTCTGATCTGCCCGGCTCTAGCAAACCCCCCAAAAGAAACGCAAAGTCACGGGCGGCGATGGCCTGAGATGGAAGACGCTGACTGCTCACATCATCTAGGGCGACTGAGATGGACATCACCATGATAGGATTGCAAAACGCTGGCAAGACGTCGCTGCTGAGGGTTCTGGCGGTGAGTCGCTTCCTGATGCGGAGAATGACGATGACATTCTGCCGTGCTTCATTCTGGTGGATGGTGAGCTGACTGATTGATGTCTAGGGCGGAGAGTTCACTGTTGAGTAAGTTAGAATTTGTCCCGAGGTGCGCAAGCATACGGCGACAATGTTTCACGACGATGGCGATGCTACTGCTTCGCGCAACCATGAGCGTCATGGTAGTGGGGTCCATGCGCTGACAATGGCCCTAGCTCCATCCCCACCGTTGGCTTCAACATGAAGCGTGTGCAGAAAGGCCATGTCACCTTGAAGTGGTAAGTTATTCTTCATCTCAGTCCTGGGTCACGCAGGTTCGGCTCTTGCAGCGCCATTCCCGTTTGAGCGAGGCTTGCGGGGTGGGGGGAACGAGAGCTAGACCAAGGCGCATCTGCTGACCATGGGCAACAGTTGGGACCTGGGAGGCCAGCCTAGGTTTCGTTCCATGTGGGAACGGTACTGCCGCGGGGTAAATGCTATCGTGTAGGTGTGGTTCGCATGTGATGGTCGGCTTGTGCTTATCGGGACAGGTTCATCGTCGACTCGGCTGACAAAGAGGCCTTGCCCGTTGCTGGCGAGGAGCTCAAGCTGCTGCTGGAAAAGCCGGCTCTGGAGGGAATCCCGCTCCTTGTCTTGGGCAACAAGTCGGACTTGCCTAACAAGCTTTCGGTGGATGAGCTGATTGAGGCGTTGGACCTCAAGTCAGTGTCGCACCGCGAAGTGAGCTGCTACGGCATCAGCGCAAAGGAAGAGACGAATCTGGACGCTGTGCTGCAGTGGCTGATTGCTCGGGCCAGCAAATGAGGTAGTATGTGTGTATGTGTGTGTTGTTTGTATTCAATCGGGCGGTAACGTGACCGACGGGGTCTTCTGGGCCACACGACGTTCGCAACGCATTCGGTTCGAGGTTGTGTTTTTTTTATGGCAACTTTTTACGGCCGCCGACGTTGTTTGATTCTTACGAGTTACGGTCGTCAGCTTTCTACGATATCTTTAATGATTCTTACGACTTGATGGAAGAAAAGACGGGCAGATCGCTCTGCAGGCTAGCGATGGCCAATCCAGTTCCCCTAGCTCTCGACTCGTTTACGGCTTTTTTTTATATTACTATTATTACGGCGACAGGCCAAGTTTGGTCATGCATGATTTTGACTGTTTTATATTGGAGCGACCATGTTGTGGGTGTTGAGAAGTGATGAGAAGGTGTGGGAGGGGGAGTCTGAAAGCGGGTTTGGACATGGTTTTGTTGCGCGTGCTTGATCCCTTGTGCGGCTCCATGGGGAGTGACCTGAGAGTGGCAGCGGTAGAATGGAATGTTGTAGTCTCTGGTGACTAGTCCGTGTGTTGAGTTTGCTCGTGACTCGAAAGCCTCGTGCGCCGGGGCGCGTGAACGCCAGGTTTTTGTTCTGACAGCGTGTGGAAATCGGACGGGGAATGAAGAGTGAAAGGCAATTGCGGGCGCGGGTATTGCACCAGGTCCTGGGCTTTCTTTATTTTTTTCTCTGCAGAGCGGGCGGTCCGGCGGGTTGTGGTTGTTTGAAACGGGCCAGTTTGACGGGAGAACGACTTGGGTGGCACGGGGAGGCGCAGAGACGGGCTTGGGCCTTGACGACTTGAGGGGTAGAGATGACAGCAAGGGCCGCAAGGAGAGAAGAGGATCAATGCACAAAGCGACGAGAGGCGACGGTGAGGGACAAACAACTATTATTTCGCACAATGCAGGCTGGCAGATTGGCGGGCCCCAGGCAAATCCATGCCAGCACCAGTTGAACAACTCATCCTGCATTAGCGTCTTGCGGCCAACGCTGCGCTCCGAGGCCCTCATTGGGCCGACACGTCGCGAGCGCTGCAACCCCCCGGCCTGCCCAAGGGTCGTAGCCCACGGAACCGATGAGCTGGCGGGGCGAGGGACGTCTGGCGTGAACGGCTTTGGGGCATGCTGGTGGCGTGGGTGAAGGATTGTGGGGTTGCAACGGTATACTACTGTAAGTATCCAGATCCACACCTGTATGCAAACGTACAAACTACGTATCCTACATGTAAGTACACACATAGTAGGGATCTATAGTGATATGTAAATGTAGTATATGTAAGCCTCGACTGGTGGTAGCAACATGGGTCAGCTTACTTGTATTAGTAGGTGTAGGTACAATTGTACCATGTTCCCCTTCCCCCCTCATCCATCAATGCTTACAACATGACAAGTCAACCACAAGGCCAACGCCATCTCGTACAAAAGTCCATGTTTGAATCCAATCCACGGACAACTCAGCAGTGGCGCGCCACTGTCTCACACCACTAGCGTCCAGCTCCAACGCCTATTGCTCCTTTTCGGACTAGACCCGGCATACGTCCCGAGCGCAACAGACAGCATGATCCATGCGACTACTCTACAACGTACATGCATGCCAACCTCAAACAGATGCATGCAATGGAGGAAACACGACCAAACAAGCTCCCCTTACTCTACTGTCCACGTATGTGTTTCGTTGTTTCACGCTGCTTCGTAAGCTGCAATACGGCAATGGCCACCGCCGTACATACGGCGCCGGTCCGGGGCGGTGGTGTGTTGGGTCAGATGACGTATGTATGTACTGTGGAAGCGGACGAGCTGGACCATTCCCGCAGGGCTGAGTACGTACTGGACGAAAAGGCCGCAGCGACGTTTCCACCAACATTTCCCCCCTCAATGCCCATCTAGAGGCTTCTCGTTGGCGCTAGCACCGTCCGGGCATAAATGCGCGCGCAATCGTAGTCGTGGTCGTCACCCATGCTGGCGCAGACGCCGTTGATGGTCTGCGCGGCCAAAGTCTTTCCACGTCGTGCCAAGCGGGGTTGCTCTCTTGGTGTGTGGCTGAGCGTCCGCCGGATCCTTGCCTGCTCCGGCTTATATGGTCATGCACTTCGTCATTCCTTCTACCTTGCGCCTCTCTCTTCTCTCACTCCCTCCATAGTACCGACAGATTCATAATTTGCTCCTGCTACAACAATGCATCTGCAGGCTAGACAGATCTACTGGGATGACGACAGGTAAGTTTGTGCGCCACTGATTTTCATGTTTCCAAGAGTGGCGGTGCGTTGCTACTGCACGACCTTGCCCGGCTATCGGCATCAGTGGCTAGGGTATGAGAACTCGCCTTGGGTCCTTTGCAACATACGACGTCACAACGTCATTCGAATCCGCTTCCATCGGCATCTTCTCATACTCTACCTCTGCCAATATCAAGCCAGCTTTTTGTTTTTGTACCCTGGTTTCCTCCAAGCTTCCAGCCCCAGTTCCACGCATCCTTCTTCACTACTACTACTACTCTTTTGCATTGCGACAACTTCTACACCGACAAACATCATTCTAACACACCATGGCTAGGTGTTATATCGACAGATATGGCTACAGGCGCTGCAGAAGCTCAGCCTGGAACAATTGGGTCAGATGGGTAGTCCTCGTCGTTGTCGTCGTCGGCTTCCTCCTGCTCTTTGTACTCTGCTCGTAAGTCCATTGCCAATCACCACATTCATTCTCAGGAAGCACGTACTAACACGCACTGACAGTTGCTTAACGGCGCGTCGTCGCCGCAAGGCTGGTCGCAAGCCCTTTTACGGAACAGGCTGGGCTGCTCGTCCTGGTCTCTACAACAACCAAAACAACAACCAGTACAACGCCCAGCCGTACTACGCAAACCAACCCGCCCCGCCCTATGACGCCGCTACAAACAACAACAACAACGGTTACTACGGCGGCGGCGCAAACCAAAACTACTACGGTCAGCAAAACGGTGTCGAGCTTCAACAGCCCCAGCCTAGCTACGGCGGAGGCGGCTATGCACCACCACCAGGCCCTCCACCAGCCAAGGCTTAAGCATCTCGCGATAGCCGTACAAGACCAAAAATGATCAGAAACATGTCGACACAAACGAAGCCTTCACAACAACCTGGATGATGTGAACAATGACGACGAAAATGTGGCGAATTTGATTGGGCAAAAGGCCGGAGTACAAGGGGGGACTTCTCTGACTTTTTCTTTTTGTGTAATCACGCTTGATACCTCTTTTCCTTTTACTTATGCTTAAATTTCAACGTTTTTTCCCCCTCTTATAATGCCCATTAAGAAAATAATACAAGTATTCATGTCGTAATTCAACTCTAGATTGTACCTTGAGCAATCCATGTGTGATTTCTCTTTCCCTTATGCTTGAACCATGCAATTGTGATAAGTAGTTAGTCAATCTAAGAGAAAAAGAATGTTACTACGCAGCTTGTTACCTTGTTCTCATGGCACATCAACTCTGACCTTCACATGATTTCAGCAGGGCAAACCTGCTTCCTTGTGCAACGTACAACACGTCTGCATACGTCACTTGGTTACCAAACAAAACCAAGCGCCCTCTCAACAGCATCAACAACACCAAACCAGTCCAAGCAAAATCAACCATCATCAAAAAAAAACATCAATTCAACATTATACTTCATATCACATTTTCTCAGTCCCTCTAGTACAAAGGCTCAGCAAGAGACAAAAAGAGGACAAAGACAAGAAAAAAGCTATTGAAACTTTCTCTCTCTTTCCTCCCTCTCATCTTCGCCAGCCCATATGCCCTTTTTTTCCCTCTCCCCTCCCACCACCTTTTATTCCCTTTCAATCCCCCACCCCGCTGACAAAGTGTCATGGAAAACGCTAAGCATACAAGTTTGTCATCCCATCAAGCACTACTACAAAACCCCCACCCACTTGCACTTCTCAACCAACAAGTCGTAGTCCACTGGCCGGTGCTCCAATCTGACTGATGCCATCAATCTTGCACACGGTACCCTTGTACCTAGCGTGGTACTTGGCTCCGCTGTACGGACTCGTCACCGACGGTTGTCCAGCGTAGATGGGCGTCAGACTAGCAGCGCAAATGTCAAAGTCGGCAAACTGGTCAAAGTCAATCTCAATCGCGTCGCTGGGATTCCTCTCGGCAATCGTCTTGACACGCTTGGCTGACTCCTTCATCTTGGCGTTGCCAGTGCGGTCAAGCAGGGCATTCGCAAAGTTGAGCGCAGTGTTCAGCTGCTTGTTCTTGTGCGCAAAGTTCATGGCCGCAGAAAGCGGAATGGACTTATGTGGGCCTTCAACCTCGGGAATGGTGAAGTAGGCTGACAGCTCGAGGACACGCTTCTTGTCCGCATCAGAGAGACCAGAGATGTCCGTAGCACCGTTGAGCAGCTTGCGGCGCTCCAGCTCAATGGTCATGGCCAGAATGTATTGGGTAGCAGTGTTGATCGCCTTCCTTGCCTAGAATAGTCGGTTAGTTGCAGGTTTAGTGTAGGACACTTGAGAAAACTTACGTCAGAGAGCTCGGCTTGAGACGAGACAACGTTGACCATGATGAGCTGCAGTAGCTTCCTGAATGTCGCAATACCATCTTCCAGCTTGTTCTTGACCAAAGCTTGCTTGCCAGCAGTCAAGTCATTAGACAGTATGGATTCCAAATCCCGTGGAATAATCGGCAGGATTTTCCGCGAGTCCGTCTCGTCCACTGTCCTTCGCACGTAGTTGACCAATGATGGCATGTTGGGCGTAGCGGGCAAAAATGTCCGTGTCGCTTGGTAGATCTCTTGGAAGCGCTCCTCGAGAGGGGCAAAGTTGACTGCACCGACTTGACGGTTGAGTAGCTGCATGGCCGTGTCAAAGGAGCCTGCCGCGACGTGATCCGCTGCCAAAGGTGAGTTCCGTGCCCAGAGGTCGGCTTCGCTGCTTCCAGCACCGGCTTCAGCACCCTCAACCTCGACGAAATCGTCCTCGGCTTCAACCTCGGCATCGTCGCCCATGTCCCATCCGCCGATGTCATCTTCTTCGTCACCTCCAAGGTCGGCTGAAGCACCAGTGGGTTCTGCTTCGCCGAGCAGATCCTCATCACCATAGCCGTTGGCTGCAGGCTCCTCGGATCCAATGCCTTCAACCTCGCCTTGAAGAGCCTTCTCGAAGACAGTCGAAGAAGCTGCGCGCGTCGGCCAGTTTGCCTGGTAAGTCGGGACGATGGGCTTCACGGGTGCGAGAGGACTGCCTATCGAAGGCAACTTGATTTGGTCTTCCGAGACACCTGCAGCTTCCAAGATTGACTGTGCTTGTTCCTCGAGGCCTTGGGCTTTAGCGGTAGCATATGCCAGTGGGTAAAGGTCGAGCTCCTGGAACATTTCTATCCGATTCTGCACGTCACCCAAGTAGAGTGCGTTCTGGAATCGGGCAGTCATGTCTCCGCGATGCTCTGCAATCTTGGCCATGCGCTTCAGCTTGTCCTGGTCACCTGTTGTAAGGTAGAGGAACGACAGCTTATCAAAGTTCCGTAGTTCTGTTGCCCACTGTTTAGCGAGGTTCGTATCAAATGATCGAAGTACTTACTCTGATATGTCATTTCTACGGTTTGATGGTTGCCGTGTGCCAATGCTTCGTTGCTCAATCGCTGCCAGAGCTTGGGGCGATCAAGTTGCTTTGCCATCTCTACCGCAACCTCAAGGTTGCCGCATTCAATAGCAAGCTCGAATCGTGTCTGGGGATCCTGAACAAACTGAAGAGCAATTTCAGGATATCCCTTCTTTTGGAGGTAGGAGATGATGCTCTGTCCAACCAAGCTTGAAGTCTTGATAATGTTGAGCATCTCGTCGTAGTTTCGCTTTACAAGGGCAAGCTTGAATCGATACTCAGTAGGGTCAATCTGGAGGATCTTGGGTTTCGCGGCTCGGTCCAGGCAGTATACGTTGCGGCCCTTGACCCTGACGAGATATACGGTTTGTTCAAGAGTGCGGACAATTCCGTTGTCGCCATTCATCAAACTGTACTTGATGTGGTTCAAAGTAGAGTAAAGCAGGACACCGGTATCGTCAAAGACTGCGCTCTTGATGCGGATCGTCTCATGCAGAGTGCTAACCTGCTCCAAGTTCTTTGTCGCAATTGTGACATTGTGCTTACTCAAGAGGGCCATATGCAGTCCATCTGATGACCAGACAACATACTTTACGCCATTAACGGTCAGCTCAGCAAGGTTTTTCTTGGCCTGGATATCATAAAGAACAACAGAGGTAGGTGTAATCAAGAGCAAGTTGCCGGTTCCACCAAAGTAGATGTCAGTTGTTCCATGAGGAGGCTTGATAGTCTTGGTGGTGGAGTTGCTGAGGTCCTTGATATCAATCTGCTGGTTGGATTGGTTGAAGACTGCAAATCGGTTCCTAGCCACGAATACAGCAGAGTTTCCAGAGCCGCGCTTGGTGTCGGTGGGTTCTACTGCTCCTGAAGCGTCGCGTGGAAGGCTGATGAGCTCGTATGTTCCGCTGTCCGCTGGAGATGTGACCAGGATAGAGCGTTCGGCAGGGTTATAGGAAAGTGTTCGTGGAGGTACCCAGGCGCTTCCTAGCTTCTTGAGGGACAACATTGACGGCGACTCGAGGTTCTTTTGGAAATCGTACGAGCGTACATGCTTCTCCTTGGTGATGTAGAAGAGGTTGTTCTGGTACACGGCGGATGCGGGTCGCTCGCGCTCCAGCTTGAACACCATTACTCCATTGTCGTGACCAGCGGCGAACAGGTTGATTTCAGGGTGTGCTGCAATCACCCAGAAGCGGTCATTCTCCCTCTTGAAAGATTGGACCGATGTTCGCCTGTTGAGATCCCATACGCGGATTGTCTTGTCCTCGCCAACCGAGAGTATCAAGTCCTGGTGGGGGTGGAACAAACACGCAGATGCATTCTGGAAATGTCCCCGGCAAGTGTCCACCTCCCACGCCTTTGTTTCTGACATCCTCCACAACTTGACGAGGCGATCGTCACCCGCGGAAACAATCAATGGCAATGTGGGGTGGAATGCGACCCAGTTCACACCTCGGTCGTGGCCTTCGAGGACGAACTTGACAACGGCATCTGTGTTGCCGAACATGTCTGCTTGGTTCTGGTTGGCGCGTGCCATTTGGTCCTCAAAGGACATGGCCTGTGGTGCCGAATGCTTCTTTCTCAATCCTGAAATGTCCCAAACACGAACCGACTGGTCAAGCGAGGCGGAGACAATCAAATCTTCCTTGGGGTGGAACTGCGCACACATGGTGTAATGGTTGTGGCCGGTCATAGTGCAGACTTGGGCGGGGTTAGATTAGACGGTTGCGGGGACTCGAGATGAACTTACTCAGTGAACCTGGACATGTTAGCAGTGGTTTGCAGAAGGGGCTGGAGAGACTTACGATTTTGCCAATTCCATATACGGATGGTCTCTGGTGTGTGTTAGTGAGCATGTCGGGTGACGGTGACATGCGCTTACGGTCGTCGGAGCTACTCAATATCCATGGCAGCTCGTGGTGGAAGAAGACGGTTCGGACATAGTCCAAGTGGCCGTTCAATGTGAAGAGACAACGCCGCGTCTGGTACGACCAGACCTTGATCTTGTAATCATCACCGCCCGAGACAAACCTGCGCGTCTCAGTATATGGCTATGGAAATGGCCAGGTGGTGCTAAATGCTCACAATGGCTGCGTCTTGTGGAAGTCAACGCCGCGGACCGGCCCGTCGTGTTCTTCGAAACGGTCGATGAGGGTTCCCATGCGGTAGTCCCATAGCTGGATAGTCGACGAGTGCAGCGATACGAGGATCCATGGCCTTTTGGGGCGGTCAGCAGAGAACAATTGGGCCAAATAGTGGCGGGCGCAGGAACCTTTTTGGGTGAAAGGCAATGCCCTTTGCACGCGAGGACTTTGACTCGAACTGATGCGGGTCAGCTGGCGTGTTCGCATACAAGAAGCGCAGAGCTGTCTACCTTTGTCAACATGGAAGGAGACGACGACATGGCGGGATTGAGGACGAAGCCGCCGCTTCACTGTGTGGGCCACGTAGGAGTCAATGCAAGAGAGGGCGGGCGCACAGGAGCCGGGGTATATGGACAAGAGAAAGAAACACGGTGTTTGCTATTATCAGTGGTTGTGGCTGCCTCCGCCTGAGCTGCTCAGGCCAATGTTCGATATGCCACGCAACATTCGGATTGTCCTCCAAAGTGCGCTTAGCCGGATTGGGTGCTAGCGTACATTCCCCACCTAAGGTCACGTGAGCAGGCTCGAGACGTCTCCCCCTGGACATGGTATGGCATGGCATGGTATGGTATGGTATGCGTACTTAGTACGAGCGACTAGTATGGTTGTGTGCATCGGCCACCGGTCGAGAAGCGTGTTTCAATTTCTGGAACCTCAACGACATGACTGCTACGTGCAATGCCTACCCATATGTACAGCGCAGTACAGCACACGTTGCACCTGAGTGTCCGTGGGCAGAGCCTCACTTTGGCGGGCCGCGTCGTCGCAAATCTCCCTTAGCCGGCAGCCCTGGGCCGGGCGGGCGGTTGTGTAGTAGCGCAACGAGGCCCCGCCAAAGTTGGCAATGCGACGATTGTGCCAGCTGGCCGTGGTAGTGTAGTGGAGTGTAGTGGTAGTGGTAATGCCAGTGCCAGCCAGTGCCAGCACCTAGCCGCCCAGTGCAGGATAATCTTGCTCACTGACCTCATTGGGCATCCATCCTGCCTGACGCAAGGGAGAGAGTGCCCGAGTTGCTGCTGCGACTAATCGTTCGCGACCACATTGCGTGCCAGCGCCCGAGCCATCCAACCAAGGCGATGCTGCACATGGGAAGGGCAGCAATGCAGACCCGCTCCGTGGCCGGCCAGCTCACTGCTGAAACGCTGCTGATAATTGGCGACCCGACCACGCACTTTCACTCAAGCGCTGCCGGGAATTCCAACCTCCACGACTTTGCTCTGTCTTTGTCCTCTTCCTCCTCCTCCTCTTCTTCTTCTTCGTGCACATCACCCACACCGTCCACCACACTGTCCGCATTGCGCGCCACAACTGACCGGTTCTCTGCGAGCGACGTCTGCTGCATTGCTGCCCTCTAGTAGCACCTCCCATTCGACTTCCTGCACGATAAGCCAAGGCGTTGCAGGGTTCGACTTGCCAAAACCTCTCCACCTCTGCGCTCGAGCTCGCCGCTCAGATATCCCAGTAAAACACTCTCGGGCCACCTCCAGAATGCTACAGTCGGCGCAACTTCTCTTCCGTATTTCAAAGATTAGACACGCCCGTCGGACTCTGATCCCCTGAGCAATTCGCATCAATTTGTCCACAGTGCCACTGATACGTACGCCCTCGCAATTGGCTGCAAGCAGCCTGACGCAATCTTTCCCATCCACACCAAACCCCATATCTCTCTCCACACCATGGCCCAACACTACCACCAGCCACCAGTCACCACTCTCAACGGGCACCTCCAGTCGCCGCCCATGACGCCCAGCCCCGAAGCCCACAGTCGCTTCCCACCCCCACCACGCCAGCCCTCTCCACAGTACAAGCGCATGGCCAGCTGCGTCCAGACACCGCCCCTCGAGTACATCGAGCCCACTGGCTTCAACCACCAATTCAGCTTCACCCGCCCCCAATCATGCGAGCCATGCTCCCGCCCGTCCTCGGACTCTGACCGAGCCTTCGCTGCCACCACCTGCGAAGATTCCGAGTTCGAGTGCGACTCTGACGACGAGAATTACTCGGACCAGGAAAGCGAGCCGGAAGAGCAGCCACCCCTGCGCCGCGTGGAAAAGGCCCAATTCATCCTCGAAGAGCTGGACGACGACCCTGGCTACGACTGTGATGTAGAGGTACTCCAGCCGGACCATTGCGAAGACGCAAAGAGCGAAAGGAACGGAGTGAAAGCCGAGATCTTCGCCAGAATGAACGAATTGCAGCTCGAGGAAGACTCGTCAGACGACGAGAAGCGGGTGCTCAAATACCGACAGAAGAAAAAGCGGTGGAGCGCCGGCATCTTCAAAAAACGCAGCTACAGCCAGAGCGTTGAAGGCGATAGCGACTACTCCGACAACGACCCCCTGGACGACATGGACCCAAGCGCACGCCGGCTTCGTCGACGTGTACGCGGGCCAAGAAGAGAGTCGCTGATCTTCGTAGATCGGGGCGTCCCAAACACCAACAACATCCTCGAAGTCGAGGAACCCGAAGAAGGAATAGTGCTGCACTCAAAAGGCCCGCCCTCCATCCCCAGCGACGACGGCTTCACTCTGGACGAGCTTCCCTTCTGGACAGCTCACGACAACATCGATATCGAGTACAGTATCTTTGAGTAAAAGGAATCATGGCTTCACTTACGCGAAATGAAAATCGGGCCGGGGTCTTGTCATATAATTAGTCTATCTTTGCACTCCAACCATGGCGTTCATCAGCGAGGAGTTTGTGCGGCGTTGTCTTTTGTGTAGCGTTACGATCGGGTCTCCAAATGAATCTGTTTTTACCTTTGTATTGCTCAGCGTTGACTACCAAGCGAGGTGCGTTGTGTTACTTCTTGTGACTAGCATGGCTGTCGTCTTGCGCGGCAATCGTCACCGTTGTATATTTGTAAGATTTGCTGGCGCCTGCCATCTCCAGAGCTATTTTTGGAACTCACGTCGCTAAGCGGGCGGGCTAAACAGCAACAACGCCCAGCAGGGGAGGCTTACCACCACTCATTCTAACCCCACAAAACAAACCAACATGATCCTCCGCCGACAAGGCCTCTCAAATAGTACGGCTCGTCAATGTTCCGTTTCTCTGCGCCACACCAGGAGCCTCCAAGGCCTTTGAGCCCCATTCTTTCTGAATAGAACAACATCTCCATCTAGTCGGTAGAGTAGGCATCCTCCCAACACCCTGGACACACTATTCCCACGTCATCTTTTAGTTGTTTCAGCGTCATCTATATACACAGGCATGGCGTAATAATTGTTTATTCTCATGATCTTTTTGTTCCGTTTGCGTACAAGTGGCACCGCCCGAATAAGGCGTACTTCGCCAAGCGCCCCCGCTGCGAGGCTGACGACCTAGAGCAAAGGCTGATGTTTCCTGCAATTCTGACCAATAGATATTTCTGTCTTGTAAATTCTATAAGCAGAATACATGTGTTCCCGAATAAACCACGCCGTGAGTTGGCGGTCTACAAGCACTGTACAGCCATCACGCTATCGTCGGAACCATCAGTTGCCGTCCGAGACATGGTCATCAAGCTGGGAAGATGAACTTGAGCATCGAAGTATAAGTATATTGCCATAGAACGCAGTTTGGAGAATCATCTCCTTACTCACAATCAATAACTCATACTACAATCTTCTCTTTTCCTTATTTCCTTGTCTCATTTCCCTTTACTGTCCAAGCCTTCGCTTCTTAATCAGTAATCATGTCTACCTTCACCAAAATCGTCATCGCTGCGCTCACTCTGGGAGCTGTTCAAGCCCTTCCTCAAGCCCAGGGCTTCCCTACCGTCAACGCTACCGCTACCACTACTACGGTCGCACCTCCGGCTCCTACTGCAAACCAGGATGCCCTCTTTGACGACCTCTTCACTGCCCCCACGGCTATCAAGCGCTTCCAGAGACTCCTCACTCAAGGGCAAACCCTCTTCACTGGAGAGGCGTTGAGGAAGTTGGTCGTCTTTACTTTCGACAGGAACACGCCTCCTCCAGCAGGCGCCAACGGTGGTGTCGCTGTTGCAGCAGTAAGTCCAGTGACATCTTAGCAGTAAAAGCTTCATACTAACACCCCACCTAGAACATCGAGAGCTTCCCCATCCTCACTGGCCTCGGCATCAGCACCACAGTTGGCTTCCTTGCTCCCTGTGGAATCAACACTCCTCACGTCCACCCCCGTGCCACTGAATTCCTCACCCTCGTCGAAGGCAAGAACCTCGAATTCGGCTACGTCCTTGAGAACGGCCTCGTCAAGGCCGGCGAGAACCCCGAAGTCGCCAGCTACCTCAACAAGTTCGAAGGCACCGTTTTCCCCCAAGGCTCCATCCACTTCCAGTTCAACAACAACTGCGACAACGCCACTTTCGTCGCTACCCTCAACTCTGAGGACCCTGGTACTAGCCAGGTTGCCCAGAACTTCTTTGCTCTCAACTCGGGTGTGCTCAAGGCTACCCTGGGATTCCCTAGCTCCATTGACGCGTCCAACATTGAGGAGTTCCGCAAGCAGATTCCTCCCAACCTAGCTCAGGACATGGACACCTGCCTTGCCAAGTGCAAGCGTCAGTAAATCTAGCGCACCCAGACAAGCAAGTGGGATGGAGATGGTTTGACGGTATGAGGATATGGCATTCACGATTTGAGTTTTCATAGCGATGGCGTTTTTTTTTCACGATAATGATGGATGGTTTTGGGCTTTTTGGTTACTGATTCTTCTTTTGATTTGAGCTTTTGCATTAGACTGATTTTGGCTTCTTGTTTATACACTCGTTAGATATTTTTATCAGAAAACACTTGTTTAGCAGGCGCGTTGCCTTGCTAACTCGATTCTTGCGCATTTGAACATTACTAGATGGGCCTGTGAACTAACTCTTCTCAGGAGCATACTCGCTGGCTACAACCAAGTATTCCACTGTTTCTTGATGGAAACCACATTTCTCAGCCAACTTTTGATGGAAGATGACTCATTGGCTGAATTATTTTGACATTCCTGCGGCACCACAAGCTCAGTAGTAGTGACATCGGAAGAGCCAAGCCCAAGGCCTATGTTCTTAGCCGCCTCTCTAAATAACCTATTTTCACATTCCTGTGTATGAATTCATAGTACGCCTAAGATCGCAGCAGAGAAGCTAGCCTTACCGAATCGCGGACACAGCCAGCCACATTGAGTGTGGCACAGCCAGCACTGGACCCTGTAAATGTTATTTCGGTGACTGGCCTTCAGCCCCACCACGACTCATTCAGCTCGCGCTTCAAGCTTGCAGTCACCACATCCGCCCCAGCTGAGCTCGAACGATCATAAATTGGTGTTCTTGCTATCTTGAATTTCTTGTATCTGAATTCTTTTCCATCTTTTCCTTTCGTTCAATTTCGTAAAACACGCCAATCGCCCTTCTTTATACCCCGCCATAGCCGACACAATGGCCGACCCCGCCGCCATCCAAGACGAGATTACCGCAATCGAAAAGCGAATTGAAGAGGCGCAATCACAACTCAAAGACGCAAAGGAAAGGTTACGAAAGGCCAAAGATGCTGCGTACGATGGCCCCGGCGCAAACTTGTCGGCTGAAGAAAAGATGTCGCTCATCAAGGTCAACTTGGCTGAAGTGCTGAACCCAGAGATTATGGATGAGGCGTTGAAGAAGCAGGGCCACCTGAAGGTCTACTGGGGTACTGCGACAACAGGACGACCTCATTGCGGATACGTGCGTCTTGTGTTATTTGAATTGAGTCGCGTGTGATACTGATAGGCTCCATGTAGTTCGTCCCTATCCTCAAGCTTGCACAATTCCTCGCAGCGGGCTGCCATGTCAAGATTCTCCTTGCCGACATCCACGGCTTCCTCGACAACTTGAAAGCGCCAATTGAGCTTGTCAAGTTCCGCGCCCAATACTACCGCTTCACCATTACAGCGCTTCTGAAGGCGGTCAAAGTACCAATCGAGAAACTAGAGTTTGTGCTGGGCTCAAGCTACGAATTGAATGCAGACTACACAATGGATCTTCTAAGGCTGGCAAGTATAACGAGCGAGGCTACTGCGAAAAAGGCCGGTGCCGAGGTCGTCAAACAGACGGAGAATGCGCCACTCAGTGGACTTCTCTACCCTCTCATGCAAGCTCTCGACGAGGAGTACCTCGATGTAGACGTTCAATTTGGTGGTGTAGACCAACGTAAAATCTTTGCACTCGCAAAGGATGTGCTACCCAAGATTGGCTACAAGGAGCGCGCCCACTTGATGAACCCCATGGTTCCCGGTCTGCAAGGTGGAAAGATGAGCGCTTCCGACCCAGATTCCAAGATTGACGTTCTCGACGATGCGGATGTAGTCAAGCGCAAGCTCAAGAAAGCGCATGCGGCACCAAAGGTGGTCGAAGAAAACGGCGTCCTCAGCTTCGTCGAATACGTTCTCCTCCCCGCCGGCCATCTCATCCACGGTGAACCCAAGTTTGTTGTTAAGCGTCGCGAGGGCGAGCCCCTCGTCTACACTGACATTACGAAGATGCAGGAGGACTACCGAAACGACATCCTCACTCCCCAGGACCTCAAGCCTGCTGTCACAGAAGCCCTCATCACCCTGCTTGAGCCTGTACAAAAGGAGTTCCAGGCTAGCCCTGAGTGGAAGGAGATTGAGCAAAAGGCTTACCCACCACCACCTGTGGTCAAGAAGGAGAAGAAGGTCAAGAACAAGGGTACCTTCCACCCAAAGAGAAATGTCGAGGCCAAGCCAGACGGCCATGTTGAGGGTGAGGACAAGGCAACTGTAGATGTGGGGACTGAGGGTGGTGAGAAGGCCATCGAAGGTCTGAGTCTAGAGGAGAAGAAGTAAGATGATAGACCCAACATGATGGGGGAGACATATATAAAACATAATGCAAAGGAAAAAAACGCACTTTATTGGTCTATGGTATCATGCTCTCAAGTCACTTAACTCAGCCCAGCCACCCAGCTCTATCCCCCCTTATTCCCAGATACGCCATAAACGTACAGACGTTTCCCACCTTTACCTCCCCTCACTACTTACGCAAAAAAAAACCCCCCCCCCAGCTTCACGCACTGAAAAACGAAAAAATGCTCATTCTTCCTCGTAAATCTTGACCTTCTCCGCATACTCGCGGATATTCGAATGAATCGTCTCCTCAATCAACTCACCGCGTCCACCCGCAACCTGGAGGATCAAATCATTCAACGACATACGACCCAGGATATCGACGTGATCCGCTAAATTCACCCCCCATCATCAGCTCATGCGCAAAATACGATAAAAGAAAAAGAAAAAAGAAAAAGAAAGAGAGAGAGAGAGAAGAAAGAAAAAACATACCAGTATTCGGACCACCCCTCGGACTAAACCGATCAGGCTCATGTCTCATTTCAAACGTCGTAACTTTCACGCCTGCAGGATTATACCTTTTGATCTTCCACCCTTTAGCGCACATATACCCACTACTGAGTAAATTCACCGTGCCATCGCCTTCACCCATTACAACGCCATGATCCACATTGCCCTGGGTATACATGGTATCGAGGGTAACATTGAGTTCGCTAACGGGATCGTCGTCGCTACGGTAATAATACGCGCGCTCTGTTTCCTTGCCTACGCCGTAGAAGCAGTAGATTTTGAGGTTGGGGGCGAGCGGGAGACGCGTTTCGAGGGGGTTGATCCATTTTGCGGGGAGGAGCTGGTTGTCTTCTACTTGCTTTGTTGTGTGGGCTACGCCGTGGGAGTAGGAGGATAGGATCATTTTCTTGAACCAGGGTTCGGTGTTGCGGAAGAGGAACGGCAGAGTTTCATCTATTGTGATGTTTTTCTTTGTAAGCGTGGAATTTGAGTTGCGGAAGCGTAGGAAGCGGCCGTGGGTTTCGTTCTGGCCGGGCAAGTCGTCGGGCGCGCCGGATTCGTCGCCCCAGACGGCATTGCCGCCGAGGGGGAGCATGGCGGAGAGACCGGGCATGGCGCGGAAGAGTTCGGCGCGCTCGTAGCGTGAGAGGAAGCGGTCGAGGCCGTAGACGGCGAAGGCGTTGAGTTGGGCTGTGTCTTTCATTTCACCCGAGAGTACGGCGGGAACGTCTTTGACGGCACCCAGCATGCAGCCTGAGATGTTGATCCACGAGTCGATGTGCTTGTCGACCCAGTCTGGGCCGCCGTTGCCGTAGCCTTCTGCTTCGACCCAGTGGAGGAAGTAGTAGAGTACCTGGGAGCCCATGGAGTGCGAGAGGAGCACGACTTTTTGGTTCGACACGCGGACGCCGACTTCGATGTGCGACTTGAGACGGGTAAAATACTGGTCGCGGATTTCGTAGTTCATATATGACATGCGCCAGTCGTAAGCTGCTGTGAAAGCGTTTCCAGGATCGTATCCGACCGTAGCAAGGTTCTCGAGAATCTTGTTCCATATCCAGTATCCCGTTATGAAGAAGTCTGCTGCGTCGAACCCTTGTGCCGCACGGAGTTTGACACCTGGTGGATCGAGTCCAGTGTCTTTGTCAAGCATAATGTGGCGCTTCCATTGAGCCTTGTCCATAACCAATGCGCGCATCATTGTCCACGAACCCCACAGTCTCTTGCGAAAGTACTGTCTTGAGCTTTCCTCTGTGCCCCATGATTCCAGTCCCGTGGAGATGACACCAGGAATCATGATAACTGGGTGCTTAGCCTTTATGCCCTGCTTCTTCGCGTGTAGCCCGACGGCAAAGGAATCGTAGTTTACGGCGTCTCGTTCGGTTTTCTAGTGGAGGGGTGAAAGTCAGTCTCCATCCCTCTCTGCTATCTTTCGAGACCACCTGTATGTACAGAAAGAGTGCGCATACCTGCATCTGTTGCGCACTCTTCACAAAGTTCTCTGGTAGTGCCTCCAAGATGCTCTCCAGGTTCATTTCCCCCAGACTCGTCAGGTCAATCATGTCATTATTGCTCGCAAAGAACCCCGCGGCCAACAGTCCGAATAGGCCACCAAGAACAAAAACCCAGATATTATTCCTCTTCTTGTGCTTTCCCTTCTGTTTCAACGTCGCCAGTTGCTCCGCGGTAATCACCCGCAGATTCGCTGGTCGTTTACCATCTGCTCCAGGTGAGGGTTCGCGAGAGAACTCAGGCGTCGAGTCCTCTCCTTCGCCGCCGGTACCGCCGCCACCGCCGCCAAAGCGACGTCTCAGAAAAGACATGTGCAGATACTAGTAAAAGGAGTATCCAAGGTGAAAAAGGTTGGTGAGAAAGAAACCAAGCAGAGTTTCTCCCTGCACAAAGGGTCGCAAATGTCCGAATCCTCCGGCATGTGACGGAACGATCGACAACAAGGGTCCTTCGCAAAGGCACGTTTGCGCCCGTTGTTGCCAAGCCGGGGGTCTCTCCGCAACCTTGTCCAACCTACCTCCACTTGCCGCCGCCTTCAACACCGACTTCCACGCGCGAAATGGCCGGAAATGACGACAGCCTGACTGCGGCTGATGTGCCAAAGACTGGCGATCCAGAAGACCTAAAAGATTCGGATCTCCAGTATATACAATACGAACCTTCCAAGGAAGAGCAATATCTCCCCGCCATCCGTCAACTAATCTCAAAGGACCTCTCTGAGC